GACAATTGGCTATTTTTCAAGCATCCAACTAAAGATTCCAATAAAATACCACACGTCGAAGATAGTGTGCCACGCAACCACGACGCTTGTCAGCGATAGTGTGGCTGAGCGTGTTGCCGAATGAAGCGCACCGAACGTGTGGGTTCAAACGGTGGGACTACCCAAATACGTCTAGAAAATTAAAATTTCATCTACCACACGTCTAACTTCTGCACCACCGGTATACTCTTGCGACGACTCACTGCGATCCGCTCTAAGTACCGTTTCGCAGTCATTGTCGACGAGGTGCACGAAAGAAGTGAAGAATCCGATTTTCTACTTAGCTTAATACTTAAGACCTGCTCAAAAACGACCCGAACTTAAAGTGATACTCATGTCCGCCACTCTAAATTGCCAAATTGTTTTCAGGAATATTTTGGTGGTGCGCCAGTGTGGGATATACCTGCGACGCACATTTCCAGTCGAGCAATTATTTCTCGAAAGATATTCTGGAAGCTATCGTGATTTATGTAAATGGCAATGTGATTCACAATTTGTGTAAAATAACCAAAAAGGAAGAGGAAGAGCTAATGCGTGAATTAGAATACTCGATGTAAAAGTGGCGGAAGCGGCGAGCCGGCCAGGCAGCATAAAAGATGACAAGCCTTACGTTGGCGCAAAGGTATGGACGCTATAGTGGTGAGTGCTTTTTTGAAATTGGCTTATCTATTTTTTTTATTGTTTAAGCAGTTTTTCAACGCATTTATGATGCCTTCGTTTTAGCAATAATGCTTATTATATTTATATCTTCCAATTTGTCTCTACTCTGAAAGCGAGTATATTTAAGTTTTGTAACACCCAAGAAGGAAACTTTAGGAGACCCTATAAACATTATATATGTATAACTGATCAGCCTTAACGCAGCTGAGTCAATTCTAGACATATCCGTATGTCTGCCATTACACGTACTAGGTCGCGTCAGTTTTTGTGATATCGACCTGAAGTTTTGCCCACACGTTCTTTTTCTCTCCAAGCAACTCCTCATTTGTCGGAACCGCCTTCGACACTCATAGCTAAGCTGCCATTTATCAAACATCGATAACGTTTATTTATATCGACAAATTGCAGGATGTCACGCCAATCGACACAATTCTTCAGATCGGCACGCACATACCATATACTCAATAAATTTTCCATCAAAATCAAGTTCTAGTTGGAAAAACTTTTTTATTGATAAGATATCTGCCACAAATTTGGCCATGGGTTATTGCCAAGGCCAGCGCCACAATCTCCGCACAAATTGTTTCAGATCGGCACCACTATTCAGCATATTTAGCTGCCCAATATAATATTCCATCAAAATCAGTTCTTAATTATGGAATGAGCTTTTATTTGATAGTATCTGCCCCATAAATTTGGCCATGGGTTATTGTCCCAAGGCAGCCGCCACAATCTCCTCACCAAATTGTTCAGATCGGACGTCACTATACCATATTAGCTGCCATATGTAAATTTTCCATCAAGATCAAGTTCTAGTATGGAAGCTTTTTTATCTTCGATAAGATATTCTGCCCAACAATTTGTGCATGGGTATATTGTCACAAGGCAGCGCCACAATCTCCGCACAAATTGTTCAGATCGTGTTATTATACGACACTATAGCATATCAGCTGCATTATAATTTTCCATCCAAGATCAAGTTTCTTAGTATGGAAACTTTTTATTTCATAATGATATCTGCCCACCAAATTTGGCCAATGGGTTATTGTCCAGGCAGCCGCCACAATCTCCGCACAAATTGTTCAGATCAGGACCCACTATAGCACTTATAGCTGCCCATATTAAATTATTCCATCAAGATCAAGTTCTAGTATGGAAAACTTTTTTATTTGATAAAGTTATCTGCCCCCACTAAATTCGCATGGGTTACTTGATCCAAGGCAGCGCGCAACAATCTCCGCACAATATTGTTTCAGAATCAGACGACTATAGGCATCATAGCTTGCCCATATAAACTTATTCCATCAAGATTCAAGTTCGTGATGCGAAACTATTTTATTTGATAGCAGTTATCTGACCCTAAATTTGGCATGGTTATTGTCTAAGGCAGCGCCACAATCTCCGCACAATTCGTTCAGTCGGACACTATAGCACTATAGCTGCCATATAAATTTTTCATCAAATCTAATTCTAGTATGGAAAGCTTTTTTATTTGATAAGTTTATCTGCACTAAATTTGGCATGGCGTTATGTCAAGGCAAGCGCCACAATCTCCGCACAATTGTTCATCGGACCACGCCTAAGCATATAGCTGCCTATATAAATTACTTCCATTCAAATCAAGTCTCTAGTATTGGAACCTTTTTTATCTTGATAAGACTTATCTGCCACCAAATTTGCATGGGTTACTGCGCCAAGGCAGCGCCCACCAATCTCTGCCACAATTCGTTCAGATCGCCGAGACCACTGTAGCATATAGCTGCCATATAAATTATTCCATCAAAATCAAGTTCTAGTATGGAAAGCTTTTTTATTTGATAAGATATCTGCACCAAATTTGGCATGGGTTATTGCCCAAGGCAGCGCCACAATCTCTGCACAAATTGTTCAGATCGGACCACTATAGCATATAGCTGCCATACAAACTGATCGATCAAAATTAAAATAAATATGTTTTTATGCTATAATAATAATATATGCAACTGTGGAGGGTATTATAACTTGTGTGCAGCCAAAGTTACGTTTTTTTTTCGTTTTCTTATTTATGTAGTGTTTTAAAATAATTTTTATGTGATAAAATTTTCTTATTGTTCACACAATACAAAGATTATTCGAAGAAAACTTGCAAAAGCATCTACCTCATGGAGCCGATGAAAATCAATCCCGAATTAGTGGAATCTGTGCTCAAATACATTGTGGAAGGGGAGCACAACTGGCCCAAAGAAGGCACAATATTGGTATTTCTACCAGGTCTACAAGAAATCCAAACCGTGCATGAAGCGCTCGGCGATAGCGCACTCTTTGGAAACAGGTTACTACAATTAATTAAATTTTTGTGTTGCATACGCTCATCATTTAGTCATTTCTCTGCAGAAACGGTAACTTTATCGTCATACCGCTACACTCATCACTCTCCAGTGAAGAACAAGCGTCCATTTTTCGACCAGCACCGAAAGGTAAACGAAAAATCGTGCTTAGCACTAATATTGCCGAGACTTCGCTCACCATCGACGACTGCGTGTTCGTTGTTGACTACGGTTTGATGAAAGAGAAGCGTTTCGATGCTAATCGTAACATGGAGTCACTGGAGTTAGTGTGGGTGTCACGCGCTAACGCACTGCAACGCAAAGGACGTGCCGGACGCGTCATGCCAGGCGTTTGTATACATCTCTATACGGGTCATCGTTTCCGCCACAATTTCCTAGCACAACCCGTGCCAGAAATACATCGTGTACCATTGGAACAGCTGGTGTTGCGCATAAAAACCTTACCTTGCTTCAGCGCCAAGAATACGCTGGAGGTGTTGGGGCGTACACTGGAACCGCCCACCGAAGAAAATATACTTTCGGCTGTGCGACGTTTACAGGATGTCGGTGCTTTAGATGAGACGCAAGACTTGACAGCGTTGGGTCACCATTTGTCAGCGTTGCCGGTCGATGTGCGTATCGGCAAACTCATGTTGTATGGCGCCATTTTCCAGTGTTTGGACAGTGTGCTGACAATAGCGGCGTGTTTGAGTCACAAATCGCCCTTTGTTAGTCCATTTAATAAACGCGCCGAAGCAGAGAAGCGCAAACGTGAATTTGCTATATGCAATAGCGACCACTTGACTATGTTATTGGCGTATAAGGTGAGTGTGTTGAAAATTGATTGCCGTTGTTTAACTTATCGCACATTTAACTTGCAGAAATGGTTGGAAGTGTCGCGCCGCAACTTCTACGCCAGTCGCAATTACGCCGATGAGCACTTTCTCTCACTGAAAACACTGGAAACCATTTCTGAGGTAAAATATCAATTCCTGGAATTGCTAGTCTCAATTGGTTTTGTGCCCATGAACATACCGCGCAAGCGCAAAAACGCCAGCGATAATATACTCGATTTAACTGGTAATATAATTTTCGTAGTAAATCAATAATATTTGATAAAAATTAATAAAATTACCTATATTGCACAGGTGCGGACCTGAACGTGAATGGTGACAATAATCGTTTGCTCATATCGTTGCTTTACGCCGCGCTCTATCCAAACATTGTCAAGGTGCTCACACCCGAACGCAGCTACATATCGACTGTCGGCGGTGCAATGGCCAAAATGCATGCGGCCAAAGATTTGCGCTTCAAAACACGTCAAGACGGCTTCGTCGCCATTCACCCATCGTCGGTGAACGCGATTGTGGGCAGCTTTCAATCGCCGTTCCTCATCTATCAGGAAAAAGTGAAAACATCGCGTATATTCATACGTGAGTGCTCTATGTTGCCGCTGGTGCCGTTGGTGTTATTTGCTGGTAGTGATTTTAAAATCGAATTACATGGTGGCGATTTTGTATTTCTGCTAGAAGAGGATTGGATCATATTAAAGGCGCATACGCATGAAACGGCCGAGATGATACAGTGTTTGCGTTTGGAATTGTTAAAATTATTGGAGGAAAAGATCAGCGATCCGTGTTTGAATTTGCTAAATCACGAAAATGGTTTGAAGATCATTAAAACTATTGTGCATCTTATAACAAACAATAATTAAGTGGAAACATATGCATCTGTGTGTGTGTGTGTATGCTTTAGATAATGTGTCTGTGTGTGTGTGTGCGTGTCTGCGATTATATGTTGTAAACAAAATCGTGTGAAAACATTTTGTCTATAAGGTGTGTGATACAATATTGTAGTTTTGTAAAATCATCTTTTCAGTTTTGCATATTATTTTGAATAAAATAAAATTTAGACAAAGAAATGTAGTAATTTTATTTTTCTAATGTTTTTATTTTATTAGACAAAGAAATGAAAACATTTATTTTAAAGTTTTTAAAACCTATTTTCTTCTCTATTGTTTTTTTTTTTTTAATTTAATTTATTTTATTTAATACTTTTTTTGATTGTATTGTATTTGTTTAATTTTTTCTTTTTGTAATAAGTTTTTTTTTTCTTTTTTTTAAATAATTTTGTTTATTTTTTTTTAATAATTTTGTTTATTTTTTTTTAATAATTTTGTTTATTTTTTTTTAATTTTTTTTTAAATTTTTTTTTAATTTTTTTTTAAATTTTTATATACATTTTTTTTTTAATTTTTATATACATTTTTTTTTTAATTTTTATAT